CGAGAGTTTGGGACTTGTTGTCCCTTTATGCCCAATAATAATAAAAATAATAAAGATTTATTGAAAATAATAATTGTAAAGCATTAAAATTTACAACTATCAAAATTCCATTAACTTATAGCCCACTTAAATAAAAGGAAACTAACAAATACATGATGCATATATTCATTCAAATTAATAATCAATACATTGAACCACCACACAAATTATGTACTACAATATAATAGTATATACAATATTCTACATGCACCTATATAAATACAAGTTCTCATAATACTAATTGATAAGAAGTAGAAATAGTCGGAGGTAAATATATACTTTTTTTTGTACATATGAACTTTCAAAATAAATAAATATATTTATATTTGTAGATATTAACAATTTTCAAAATACTTATGCATAATATATTATAAACAATAGAACACGTATTCCTAATGTAAGTTTACTAAGCATTTTTAAATTTCAAACAAAAACTCAAAGGTTGATATAAACACAGTGTTATTTGTTCCTTTATAAATCAGACATCTTATTTCGGTACGGAACGCGAGCCAAATTATCTTTTTACGGCAACGCCTTAGAAACGTTCTAGTAAAAACTATAAATAGCCAATCAGATTAGTAAGCCGGCAAAAATAATTGTCTTTTGTTATATAACTAGTGAAATATTTTATTTCTTTAAAAAAAAATTATCTCAATTATTAAGATAAAACCGATCAACAATTTATTAATATAGATGCAACTTTTTTAAAAGATAATTATTAAAAAATATTTTCTTTTCAGCATGGCCAGAAAAGACATATGTTATTAATTTCTTTCAACTATTTTATCAAACAATTCGAACCAATTGAATAACATTTGGACCACTGTATTTTGTTTATCTATATTCTTAAAAAAAAACAATATTATAATAATTCTAATTAAAATTTAATAGATCAGCATTATGATACAAATCGTCACATAGCTGTGATAACTCGTAAAAAATCTTAACTATGATCATTAAACATACCATTTAAAAAGAAATAATAAAATTAAACTAAAAAAATTAACGCACCATTCTTAAATTGTCTCTTTTATCAGTAAAAAAACGTAGTAATCCTGAAAACGATGGTTGATGGAAGATGTTTATTTAACAATGCGTTAATTTATACAATTTTTTTTCAACCGCCATGTGGGTCTTTATTTTATTTATTTATTTGTATATAGGCATATCTGTGTGTTTTTTTTTTTAAATTCACTTATCTTTAAGTTATTTCAATTTTAGTTATTGCATATTTTTTTTGTTATAATTTAGCTGTTATTCTGCCACTGTTTATTTTGTCTTTTCTGTATTTACAATATAAATGTAGTATTAACTCACTATAACTATCATCTGCGGGTCAGAATATTTTATTACTCTATAAATAAAAATAAATTATTTGTTTACTTCTGATGAGGTATGAAAGTTTAAGAAATTAAGTGACATAATTGAATTTGTGATTAAAATAAAAATATTGTGTAAAAACCGGAATAGTCGAAATAATTTTAAACAATTAAAATTAAAAAGGAAAATTATAGATAATGTTAAAAATATATTTTAAAAAGAAGTCGTTATTTTTATTTATTATAATTGTTTCCACAGAATAATTTTCTGAAAGTAGAAAAATTAATAGGTTATCAATTTTAATCTCATGCATTTTATTTCGTTACAAAACACAAATAAATGTATCAAACATTTAATATTCCCTAATTAAACTAATTTATATAATAAAATAATAATAATGCATAATTAGAAGTGGAACATTATTTTTTGTTAAAAATTGTCATCTTAAATGAAAGACCAACCAATTCCAAAATGCTGAAATTTCTTGGAGAAAAATTATTACCCAACGGTTACTACTGTACCATTTCCATTACCATTTCTGGAAAGAAATCTTTATAAACATTCTTTGCCCATAATGTCCTGCTTAACATTTTTTTTTTTTAATTTTTTGTCACACAAATATATACAATTATTTTTTTATTTTTTTCACCTTTAAATTGGTAACTCTTTTTTTTATATAAACGTACATATTATATGTTATATAAGAGATGGGATGTAAGAACGTTAATTTATCAATAGTTAATTAACAATTGTTTTGAAGCCATTTTTTTCACAAAACTATAACACGTAAAAATTCTTTTATCAATATTAAAAAAACTTTCATTTAGTTACATTGTAATGTATTTTGATAACTTTTCGGCCATTTGACTATTTTCAAACATTTTTTAACACATCTTAGTTACCACCTGTCTAAAATGTTTTGTAAATATCATGTGGACAAAACATTTTTCTGACTGACAAAAAGAAAATTTTTTGTATAGATGATATTTCAAAATAAATTAACAAAAACTTTTAGATAGTTGATAACTAACATGGGTAAAGAAATGTTTGACAATTACCAAGTGGCCGATACTCTACAAGAATAAATGTTGATATTATAACTAAATAAAAATTTATAAATATTGATAAAAAAAATTTATGTTATGATTTCTGGGATGAAAGTGAGTTCAAAAATTTGTTAATTAACTATTGATATATTAAATTAAATTATTCAATATATCCCAATCTCGGATGCTTCCGCATCAAGACGTATGAGGTCGGCTTGGGGAATACACAAATATCTCATATCTCCACAACCATATACACTGATTTCGTCGATTTTTTCTCCTTTTTTACGTGAATTTAGTATATTTTTTTACTATCCAATTTTTTTACCTTTTCCAGTTACTAATTTATTGTTTTTAAAAGAGATAATTACAATTTTTTTTAACAATTCTATTTTTTTTTTGCACATTTCTAACAATCAGCCCTGTCAAGATAAAAATAATGACCATTTACGAGTAAGAAAGTTTGGCAATTAGAGTAAATATACAATTTTAATGCAATGACCATAGAAAAATATTTAAAATAACCGCTATTTTTAGTTACAGTTAAGAAGATAATTTTCAATCTCTTCGATTCCAGATGAGCTAAAGGACAATGCGCGGGTTGAACATGCCCTCAAAGTGACCTTCCAAAAATAGAAGGAATCTATGAAGTCCTAAACCTCCTTGCTGACCGGATCTAATACCTAGAGGCAAGCCCTATTTTCGGAATCCCTCAATATGTTCCTATCTTAGAAAATGTTATAACATGGCGAAATATCAGTTATTAGGTTGTCCTGCACTTATAATCTATACATTTTTCATAAATATAATAAAAAAACGAAATACTCAGTTCATGTATTTTATAAAAAATAAAGTAATCTGTTACATCTAAAATTAATTTTTAGTTCATCTGAACGTGTTATTCGTTTAGATTGAGTGATGTAGAATAGTCATTTATATACCTATTATGTTTTTAAATTAATAGTGTGTATAAAAAAAATGTCCGTTTAATCAAATTCAAGATTTCAAAGGACTGTAAATATTTTAATCCTATTTAATACTTACCAATACTTAATAATCCCTTTAGAGTATTCTCTAGGATTGTTTAACCTCATTCGAATTCTTCAAAAAAAAGACTCAGTTTAGTTATTTGATTCAAAGAAGAAACATAATAAAGTCCTACGAAATTCACGTAATTTTAAGGCATTACTGGAAAAAAAAAATTACACTGCCGCCGAAGCTACTCGTGAAATTATTAAATATGAAGGGGAAGGTGCCCTTGAACAGCGCACTGCGCGGCGTTGGTTTGAAAAATGTAGCAGCGGAAATACAACCTGTGTCTCATTTCATACTAAGGTTTGTCCTTGTGCATTTACCATGTCCACTGGCCTGATTAGAAAAATACACTTCTGCCAGTATATAGCCGCTTGATTACAAAATGACGGACACCTGAAGATATATAGACACTCTATATACGTAGAAAACTTATATAGCGAGAGGGTTTATAGATATAGAAAAACACCCTTTAAATTTATAGTATTCACTGTCCTAAGATATGAAGTGTCTTTTACCCCATACGTCTGGATTTTAGTAGAAAATTTAAATTAAGGATTCAAAAGGTTCAGCTTTTTTGGTTTTTCGCTTATAGCAGTGAAACTCTATGTTCTAGCGATAATAATTGTGTATGTAAAATGAAACTTGACAAAATTTACGATAGAAATGGTTATATTTATTTTTTCGCAGTCTTCTATAGTTTTCGAGATGTTCGTCGTCGTATTTCAGTTACTTGAAAAAAAAAATTGTTTTTACAATTCATTTTTATCACTACTTGACTCGATAACTCTTAAGGTGGTCGCCATTTTGTATTCCAGTGCATTTCTCTCATTAGGTCTGTGGATATGGTCAATTTATAAGGACAAACCTTATAGCCCTGTAGCCAGGAACCCAAAAATCGACCTCATCGAAGGTTTAATTGTAAATTACAAAATTGTATGTTATTCTGAGTAAAAAGAACCTTTTCTGCCATTCCAGAGCCGCTGCTTTCAAAAATGGTGGCTGATTTAATGAATATTAGGCCAGTAATTTGAGGATATTCAACCGTACTGTTGAAATATTGAAAATCACTTTTATCTTCATTACCAATTTCTAACCATCTGGAGATTACCGATTTTCTGTGGAGTAAGTGAGTGACATTACATTAGTATTAACTGGACGCGAAATTTGATCCTGATAATTTTGATTAATGTTTGTACCTCTTAAGGAACTCATTTCTATGTTACAGGGCCATTTATAGTAATTTGTTAAATTTGGTAAAAATTAGATAAATTTAGTAAAAATCAACGTTGGTTGAAGTAACCAAATTATAAAGTTTATGTACTCGTTCGACGTCCAATTTAACTTCTTTTAATTTATTAACGAGTACTTTTTCGCTTAGACGCATCGCTTAGGAGTTACAGGTTAAAAAACAAAAATATATCGAAAATATCTGACTTTATTGGTTGTAAAAAGTTTTCTCTTGGCGGCCTGCGTTAGCAATCTTGAGGTTTATATGTCTAAATCCATATTAAAACAAGTTAAAAAAATAAAAACTTTTCTCACATTTTTTGCAACAAACATGGGAAATTAAATTACGTAAAGGAAAAAAATCAGGTGAATAAGTAAGATTAATAATACTATTTTCTGGTTTTGTATGATTTCTTGTGGCAAGATACGAGCTTCTTTGATATAAATAAACTGATGGGCATCCTGATGATATTTAAAGAACTGAAAAAATAAAAATAATTTATCGTCAGAATATTAAAGAATAATTAATACATAATCAAAATATGAATTTTTTAAATAACGTTTCGCTTAAAAAGTAGGCGACACTTACCGAGTATAAACAGAACATGACTATCTAAAAAATGATAAAACATATAGTTATTTACAATTACCAGAAAAAAATATTTCATAGAGAGGAGCTATCTTGAATATAAAGGTTTCGAAAAACTTTAATGAATACTATTTTCTGGTTTCGTATAATTTCTTATCAAGGAACGAGTGTAATTCATTAATCAATAAACGTATGGTCATCCTCTTAATCAATATTCATTTATGATATCTATAACAGCTGAAAAAATAAACAATTAATCATAAGAATATTAAAAAATCATTAATAAAAAAATAAATTTGTCTAATTCACACAGGTTCTTTTGTTTTTTCGCTAAAATAATAGGCCAACATCGCCGGCTTCAAGCAAATCATGAGGGTATGGAAAATTAACAATAATAAAATGGATTTCCCATTTCGATCCTCAAATTACTGGCCTAATATTCTTTAAATCAGGCGCCATTTTCAAAAGCAGCAGCTCAGGAATGGCAGACAAGGTTCTTTTTACTCAGAATAACATACACTTTCGTAATTTACAATCAAACCTTCGCCTGCGATCATTTCGATTTTTGGGCTCTGGCTTCAGGGCTATCAGCATGGAATAAGATATCTTTTTTGCCACGGGCTCCCAGACTAGTAAGGTTAAAGCAGTGCTAATGGAGGCCGTAACAATTTTTTTTATATTATACTGTTCCTGATCTTATTTGGCACTAAATACACACACCTATAATCAACATATTTCTATTAATTCTCAAATTTAAGTAACCTCAATAATTAAATATTGATTATTTCAAGAACTGAATTAATACATATTGTGCAAAACGTTTGGAGGACACAGTTCCCCACGTTTGTTATAAATAGTAACCTATATGCGATTCACATTAAATACAAAAACACGGATGTGGTGGTAAGTGAAAGTTGTGTGCTGCGCACACCGCACCAGTCTTTTATTAAACAATTTAGAAACATGCTAACATTAGAATTTTCAAGACAATATATTTCTAAAAATAAAGAATTAATGTATTAATTAAAATAAAGCTGGAAGGAAGGTGGTTAGCAGATGCTACGCGTACGATAGTGCGTCGCCCTCCAGGTACTACGTAGTACGTACTATCTCGCAGGGCCCTACTGAAGCAATAGTCCTTATCTTAATGCACTGTAATTGCCAACAGTAAATCTCGCTAGTTCTTCCTTGGCTTCTCTCAACAGATCTTATCGGCCATCCACTTCAATAATGATGGTAATTCTCGGCTGATGGGAAGAAACATACAATCCGTCTCCCAAGGACCCCACGTTTATCATTAATTTTAGTCCCAGCTTCTGGGTCGGAAAGCTATTTCTCACATAGGCTATACAGTACCAGTACTGCCCCTCGGCGATCTGTATTCAATTAACCGCCCGGGAGGGGGCGACGACACGGTAATGTGTGACTGTAAAACTGTAATTAATAGAATTCTTTGAATTGATTAGTTAACTTGATATTCAGCCCGGGTTCGAAACACGGTACACAGGGCACGTAGTCGAATAGTGATATTTGAACATCATGGGAAAGAATCTAGTTGAGCTGTTGAATTCTCAATATCTGGTCGTTCAATCTCAGCATCACATTCCTGGTGTAAACCATACCAAAAGGATTCGTAAAAAAACTGGTGCGGCGCATACATCACTCAATATTCTATAAACACTTTGCCATAATTGTAAGTAGAAAAAGCTATATAGGGATGACATGTTATAGACGGTATAACATATTCATTTAAAACAATTAATTGTTTACAAAAAATATTAAAGAAGATATACGAACGTTAAAATATAATTGACTGGCCACATATCAAAGACGGGTGTCTTTCATTTTAAAAGTTGAGAAAAAGTCAACTTTTGTGAAATGTCTTCAATTTAGACAAATTATAATTATTGCTTTTAATAATTCAACTTTAATATTCTAAAATGAAATCACCATAAGCAGTTTGAGTTGAAAATATTAAGCTACCTTTTTTTTTTCCACTTTCGAAAAATGACAGATGTCCTTGCTTGATGTGAAACCACTCAATTACTTATTACTTAACAATTTTTTAAAAAATGTTTAAATTAATAAAATGTAAATGTAGATCTTTTGTAAAAATTCTATGCTTCAAAACATCTCCCAATATTTACAAAAAGAGTTAATATTTTTAAATATATATTATTACAATAGAAAAGCTGTTTACAGACGTTAATAATTTAAAAGGAGGAAGATCGAGAAAAGTAAAACTCGGTTGTTTCCGATTTCACAATTCTACTTGTGACTAATCTTTGTTACTCCTGTAGTTATCAAATTCGTTCATAGTTTAAGTTCATCTGTTTTATATTACGAGTTACAATGTGATATTGTTAATTATTTTTAAAATAAACAAAATTAAATGGACTTATGGGAAGAAATTTTGTAAATTTGGCATTTCAGCCTTTTTAAACTATTAATGAATATAAACCTGTCTGATAAATATTATTTGATTTTACATTGATATAATCAAAATCGTTAGAGCCGTTTTCGAGAAAATTGAAAACATTTGTGGAATCGGTATTATTCAGTGCCACTTCTAATTGTTCGATTTTGGCGAAAAAGACCCTCTAACATACCAGGCACATGACTACCTTAAATACGTAATTCCGATTTCTTACAACTTTTTGTTTTCGAGCTAGGCACACACACATCATTTTGCGAAACTTGTTTTTTTCATATACCCTCATGTATTATCCCTCAAAACGTATATTTCCATTGAAAACTCGGATTCGAAATTCCCATAGTATATATTTCATTCATAAGTAAGCGAAAATAAAAATACCAGGCAGGAATGACCCAAATGTCTTATCTCTTACGTTGATTAAAATTGAGAAAGGACATGTAGTGATTCACTCACAAGATTTCCATCTACTCCATCGTCATCATTACACTTCGAACTCAACGTCAAGCAGTGAAAACCCACAACGTGTACTGCAATGAAAAAATTACTGTGTTTCTTTGAATAATATAAGACTTGAATGGTAACCTAATTTTATTTTTCATAAATAATGAATGACCTTGAATATTATAAGACAGTACATTATCGAAGACAATATCTGTTTGAAGATAATTGCGGCCCATCACCCATACCATTTCCTTGGCTCTTGATAAGGGCGTGTACAAATTATTTTGGGAACTATAATTACCGAATGGTCAAAGGTTCACTGTCCTCAAATGATTAAAATCTCTTCGTAATTATCTGTTTTACCAAGGTTTAATGAAATAAATATTTAGTAATGTATCAAACATCTTTAACTTTCTGAAGCAAGTAATTTCATTTTTAAAAAATATTACTTTAATTTTAAATACCAAATTACGAAAATTGATTTATAATTAGTCAGTATTATTAATATTGGCGTAAGAAGCTGGAAAATAAACATTGAATACTTGATACTTGACCGTTGTGTATTATTGAGTAAGGAGATCGTCCAGTGTTGGGGTCATAAAAATACTGAAATAGTGAAAGAAATATTTTATTTCTTCAGAACTAAGACGAAGAAGATATAAAAGGCTATAGAAACATGTGAAAGTTACATGATATTCAGAATAATTATAAACTATGTGAATAATTGTAATTCTATTCACACTGTTTATAATTGTTATCTAAATATCATGTAACTTCCACATTTTTCAATATCCTTTTGTATCTTGTTCGTCCTAGACATGAAGAAGATCTGCAAAGAGATCGGGAATCCAACTTGAAGGATTAATTTTCAATGAAATTACAATGATCCTTGAGTATGCGGATGACATAATATAAAGAACTTTTGAAACCATGAAAGAAATATTTTTGGAGGTCCAAAGGGCAGCTGAAAGAATGGGGGCGTTATTGATGAGGCAAAAACTAAATAAATGGCTACAGCTCTTCTCCCTCCTCCCCTGTGAGGACAACCACAGATACATATTGGGACGTATTCCTGTATGTCTGGAGTTTATTGATAAAGAACTGATCCAAGTGATTTTTTATGTCCTCTTCATTTTGGAATTTCTTCCCATTCATGGAGTTCTGCAGAGACCGGAATAAGTGGTAGTCACTTGGAGTTAGATCTAGTGAATAGGGAAGGCGGGGCCAAAAGGGCCCTTTCGGGGTTCAATAATATATTGCGTGTAATACACAAGGTGTGGGACCTACCAATGTCTTGGTGGAACACAACACCCTTCCAATCATTCATTACTCTTCAGGATGTTCTTCAGATTCGATGTTACTATATCCGTTGGAAAGCTGAAGTATTGTTTTTTAAAGCCGTATGAATGTATTTTTTTATTTAATGATTAAAAAAAAAATAAACAAAAACTCCTTATAGATTTTTATATTTTATTTCTATATGTAGTTTGTTTACGAAGGTCCTATTGATGTCATTTTGTGTAGTTTATGTGGCCCTAAATTTCTGCTAAATTTCGTATAGATAGCTAAAGTTGTATTGAAGTTATAACATTATTTATGATTTGGGGAGGGGGGGGGAGAATAATCATGTGAGAGACCCAAACATTAAGCCTGGAAACATAGCCTGCTTGTGCAAATAGTTTTCTACGCTTTTGTGCGACACATTTAGGACCATAGCAATCTCTGGCACTGATTAGGTGGGATTTTTATCAACAATGGATATAATATTGCTAGATTTCATGCAAGCGACCAGAACGTTGAGCATCATTGAAGTCAAAATTTCCTGAATGAAATTTGGCAAACCATTTTTGACAGGTACGTTCAGTTAAAGCAATTTTTCTATGAGCTTTTGCAGCACGCTTACCTTTTATAAAATAAAATTACAAAATATGGCGATAATGAATGATATTTTCTTCCATATTCATAGTGTAATAGCAAATACAATACTAGGCTAGTTTCAACAAAAGTTAGCAGGTATAGTTGTTCACGTATTAAAAACAGGATAAACAATCCACCTTAAGTATTAATTCATCAGATAAGAAGTGTATTATAGTGATATGAAAATAAAATTAAAAACCAAAATGACTTATTTGCCAACCCAATATATACTGTTTTAGCCTTATTTGCTTCTTTTTTTTTTTTTTTTGTATTTAATATTTTCTATTTGCATAAATTACCTATTTTAATGGATCTAGTCCCAGAATTAAGTTTGCACTACATAAATTATCGCGAAAAAAAATCCTTGGAAACTGATATCATCATGAAGCTTCTCATGTCAATTTTGGGATCGGAATGACTG